GGGTCTAGGCCCGAAACGTCAGCTTTCCTGCTCCTCTGATGCTGCTTGGCCTGCTGTGTTCATCCAGCTCTACATCTTGTTATCTCAAGCATTTACATAACAGGAGTGTTCCGTTAGGGGCAAAGATATGCATAGCTGGGCAGGAATGAATGGTCTTTATAATAGGAAGGGTATGGGGTAAGCTGTTCAACTGTTCAGTGGCAAAAACACAACAGAAGTTTGTCAAGTGTCCCAAGAGAGGAATGAAACTAATGACAGACAGAAAAATTTCTCATGCTTATTAAAGAAAAGGTGCTATTCAATGACATCAGCGGTGATGAGATTAAAACATATGGAGAAGTGATACAGCAGAGTGACTTCTTGTAAAAGTAAACTCAATCTACAGACACTGAAGTGATAAGCATTTGAGAGGAAAACCAAGGCAAAGGATGCATCCATGGGGCTCTTTGAAGCATACAGTACAGTGATGTGAACTGAAATGGAAAGAGCAACAGTGTTGGAGGAGAATGAGGTTTTCAAGCACATGAAAGGTTGTAAAGATATACTGAGAGAGAAATGGGGTCTTCCCCACTGCTACAGAAAACAGAACAATCATACTTCACAATTAAGCAAAATGGGTACTTGAGGCAGGTAGCAAAATGACAACTGCATTTTGCTTTTACAATTCTACGTTAAATACACTACTGTGCAAAAATTTTATTTCGAAAAGCTACTCGCAGAAGCAAACTTACGCCAACGTGGAGCATCAGTTATAATTCAAATATTTCACAAAAAGGATACTACTCCATCAAAATCTTCACCACACCAGTGCAGAAGTTGTTTTAACCTGGTTGTATATTTTCCACCCGATTGACTTTCGCCAATTAGAGAAGAGTATGTTGCAAAAATTACACCTTTCTTCACACTTCCATTTTGTTTCGAAGATATTTTTCCATATTTGAACTTAAATTGTAACAGACAGAATAAACAATTAAAATAAGCCGAGCTACAATTTCAGCCACCAGTTTCACTCATTATTATTGCTAGCCTTTTACCATAGCAATGCAGCACCTGCATGATTAAACTTCACATTTCTACTAACGGATGGCAGGTTCGAGGAACATAAAAAGAATCATGTTCATATACAAAATAAATGGTTAGAATGCTGGAGGTTAATTTAAAAAGTTAAAACATACAGAATTAAAAGCAAATTACAAGCACTTAAGCAAAATATTGGTTAGTAGTAATAAAAACTAATGCTTCCCAGGAATAAGCTTACCCAATAAATTTTGGTTTGAGTCAGTAAAAAGAGCACAAAATGTGTCACTGATTTGAATTTCCAGCACAAGTTAACAATATCTGTTTGAAATACTCTTCGAAAAGCTGGACTCAAAATGGTAGAAAACAATACACTCCTTGGCACACCCCACCTGAGTCCATAAAATTCAATCAAACAAAAGTTTCGATTTTCTTTCCTACACTACTCCAGGAAAGCATTTCCTGAAAATGGAAATCCATTCACTTACTCATTGGACATAAAAGGTCCAATGGCATTGCTTAAAAGCAGTTATCCTATGTAACCTGGCTAACATTTATTCCCGACTTTCACTGAAGCGTAGGAGGTTGACAGGCGACCTGATAGAATTTTATAAAATATTGAAGTATAGACAGAGTTAATGGTAGTTGGCTTTTCCCTGGGTTGGGGGATTTCAAGAATAGGGGGCACTTTTTAAGGAGAGAAATTTTAAAAAGACACGAGAGGCAATTTGTTTTAGAGGGCAGTTCACATGTGGAAGGAACTTCCTGATGAAATGGTGGATGTGGGTAAAATTACAACGTTTAAAAGACACTCCGATGTATATACAAAATAGGCAAGGTTTGGAGGAATATGGGCCAGGAGCAGGCAGGTGGGACTAGTTTTGTTTGGGACTATGTTCAGCATGGACTGGTTGGACCCAAGGCACTGCTTCTGTGCTGTCTGACTCTGACTCTATGACAAGTTGAGCCAATGTAGAATTTCCAGTGGGGAATTCAAAGAGCCATTAACAGGAACACAGGAACAAGTAGTAATTTGTAATCAGGAGAAGCAGGGTAAGGAATATTTTTGGGCAGAAACATACGTTCATGTGCACCAAGCAATACATACATTCTAAAAATCCTCATGTGTAACAGAAAACATGATAAAACAAATTAAATAAATGGACCTGTTCCTTCAATTTGCAGCTACAACTTTATATAGAAGCATGTTGTTAGTAATTTACCTTATTCAGCGCATGAACCTGGATATTTTTTGCTCCAATGTCCCGCAGGTCCCGTTCAGCATCATACTTTAAGTCATTGGATACACTAAACCTATAACAAGCACAAAATATAAGAGAAGACCAACAAAAGATGTGTTTTCTGGAATTTGAACAATCTGGATTTCCACTTACCATAGTGATCGTTTTCTACCAAGAAGGTAATTCTCAAAAATAATGCCAGCAATTGTTCGCCCTTTACCGACACCAGCACCGTCCCCTATCAGAAAGGCTGCACGATCCCCATTGGGGAGGAATGTTTCATGTTGCTATGGTTTAAACAATAAACAACGTACTTAAATTAATATCTACACCAAAAATGGAAAAGTCACATTAACAAAATCAATTACAGTAAGCCAATATTTTTAAAAACTTAATACCTGAGAAGCATAGGTGATGGCTTCCAGCTGCAAAGCAGAAAGCCAACCACTATCAATAGTCTCTTCTTGTACAGTTAGTCGATACCATACATCAGGTGGCATTACACTGGACAAAGAACTGGTCTCCACAACTGGATCGGGATGGCGCAAGCCAACTTTCACTGTAATGAAGAGGCAACTGACTTTGTGAATAGATGCATACATGCTCACATCACATTTTCTAACACATGGCAAAGTAGAATTTAATTTAGAAAACTGAAGTCATTGATATATGTGATGCACTTCACTACAAGTCTTAAAAAACACATTCAAAAAGCAAATTTATAACCAAAAACAACAGGTCAACCGTCGTTATAAAGACAAAAAAGGCAACTAATGACATTACAGGCCTTTGATTTTCGCCAAGAGTGTACATCCAATTTGTTCATTGAATCTACACAAACCAATTGCTGTTTCCAGTGTTGTCTTATTTCAGTTTTCCACATTTCGTCATTGTAACATTTTCAATGTTGCACAGATAGACAGGCTCAACAGTTTAGTCTTTTCCTGAAAATACCTTTTATTCCAGAGTCCTACCAAAACCTACATTAATTTCTAGAAATAATTCAAATTGACAAAGTAGAAAATGATTTTTGTACAAATACTAGATAATGAACAAAAAGATACAACTTGAATTTACAGGCCACTTGCCATAGTTGCAGGACATTACTAAAAAAAACACAACTGAATTACTTCTCAAGTGCAATCACTGTTATAAAGTGGAAAAACTGCCAACTTTGCATAGCAAAGTTCTGTAAACAAACAAGTGATAATAAATAGAATCTCTTTTAGTGATGTTGTTTGAAGTATGAATATTGGCCAGGATCAGGAAATATCTGTGCAATTCCTCAAATAAAGCTTTGACACCTTTTACAAACACCTAAAGGGAAAACAGGGCCTTGATTTATCAACTCATCCAAAACAAAAATAAAAAGCACCTCTGCCTTCAGGAGTGCATGAAGAGTCATTACAAAATGTACATTCAAGTCTCTTGTAGATGTGAATGTACAATCTACCAAATGGGAGGCAAAAGTGCTTCCACTGAACAAAGCCTTCAGCTTAAAATTCTGTCAATGAATGGTTGGTCCACTTGACAACCTCACTAGAACTTGACTGGTATCAAACTACTTCAAGTAGTATCAGGGTTATCACTATGAATTCCACTGTTTTCTGTTACATAACAGTGGCGCGCCCAAACTCTCAAAAACTTTGTCTACCTCAGCATGCAATTTACACAACTCAAATACTTTTGGCAAAATTACTTAACTACTTGCTACTAATCCATGCTATTAATAAACACATTGAACTCGACCCCATATACATTCCACTACGGAGGAAACCCGGAAGTGAGGCAATCCATCACAACGGACCCCCGAGTTTAAATGCCAGGCAGGAAAACACACCGACGCTTCATCAGAGGCTGCACGGAGGATGTTACCAAGCACGGTAACAAAACATCTGCGGAACACAAACCAGCTCGGCGAGCCAACCAACCTCAACACACACAACCCGAGCTAGAGATCTACTCCAGAACCTTACTTAACTACTTTTACCAATCACAGTTTCCTCTGACAGGTAAATCCATAAACTGTCAGAAATTTATACAAACCCAGTCACACAAATATAGTTCAAAAATAGGTCATTGATCAATTGCCATTTACAAAGGCCATAAACAATATTTTAGTCACTGACAAAAAGGTCTATCACCATAAGAAGAAATTGTAAACTACATTATGCTACAACACATTATTTATGAACTTACATTTAATTAATTTAATAAATGATATGGAAGTAGACAATTCAATTTGACTTTGAGGAATTACATACATTTCATTGGCATATATTCAGCATATGTGTCCGCATGGCCCAATTCATCATCATCTTCCTCCTCAGGCTCCTCCTCTTCTTTCAGAGGTAATTTCTATTAAACATTTGAAATGAAGAGATTACAACCTCATCCGTATTCTCAAAAGTAGAGAGATGGAGCCATATGGTAACCTCCAGAGAGGTCAACGTTCCATGAACTTAAACTTTCACTTTTGATGAACTGAAGAAAATCAAAGTTAATTTTACAAAAACTTAAGTTTTAAATAGTTCTGAATCGGTTGCCACATAGCTCTGTCAGACTTCACTTGGTAAAGGTGCATGTATTATGAACACACTGTTTGCTCAGTGAAAAGATGCATTCTCATTTGACTGCCAGTATATTGGAAGTGGGGAAAGTCCCATGCATGTTACCAAAATGCAGTCATCTGTAAGGAGCAGCAGTTAATCAATTGTAACCTTGTTTGTTTACTGCTCTTACAGAAGCTTTATAAAAATAATTATAAATGTAGTCAATATTGGTTTTCAGTAAGATTTCTAAGCAATATTAAGATCATATCACAGATCATACAATAATAGAATCCCTACAGTGTAGAAACAGGCCCTTCGGCCCAAGTCCACACCAACACTTGGAGCATCCCACCCAGACCCATCCCCCTATAACCCACCTACGCTACACATCCCTGAACACTATGGGCAATTTAGCATGGCCAATCCACCTAATCTGCACATCTTTGGGCTATGGGAGGAAACCAGAATACCTGGAGGAAACCCACACAGACACAGGGAGAATGTGCAAACTCCACACAGTCGCCCAAGGGTGGAATTGAACCCGGGTCCCTGGTACTGTGAGGCAGTAGTGCTAAACACTGAGCCACCGTGCCGTCCCTTAACAAGTTAGTGGTGCATATAGCTACTATAGTTGTGACTGGTCAGGGAGCAGGAGGGGAGATACACTAGAAGCTAGAAATGTAAGAATAAAGAAGTTACGGCAGGTAAAGGGTGGGGGGTGTTTAATATACTTAATTCAGCCTCCAAAGAACTATAAATGCATCAAGCATGACTACAAGAGCAATGCAATTTCTTTGTTTGCTCACAACAATAAAATGATGCACCATGATATCAAACACTAACAGAGACCATACTTAAAGCTAGTGCTACATTGGTGAGCCAGATAATCAGCAGAGATATCTACACAAGAAAATGTCAGAGCCCAACAAGCACACATACAAAATGAGATAGAGATCGGCTGACCATTAAAACAAGCACTCTCAATGGAAGCATACTATTGTTCCAAACAAAAATTTGAAGCAGAGGAGATAATTACCAAAAATCAAAATTTTGAAATGAAGTGTACTTACTGGAGTTGGAGAAAAGCTTCGCATTTTAATATCCTCATTGACCCATATCCGGGTTACTTCTTTAGTCAATGATTCCTTCCTTGCAACACCATTGTTCAAGTCAGCTGCAGATAAAGTATAGTATTTAAACTCTAAACACAATACAGAAGTCTAACTGTATTATATTGCTGAGGAAATTCAAATGTATGCACTACTCAGTGTTTAGTGACTAAATTCAACCCTTTATAACCCTCAATAACAGGGTTGCATTCAACTGTACTAAGACTGATCAATAATAATACATTTCACCAAAAACCATACTGCCCTTAAACAGCAAAGAGACTCAATTTGCAAGTGATGAATATTTTGAACTGCATTTATCACATCAAGTTTTCCTGTGAATTTTGAGTAAGGACATCAAAGTTCACACTGAAAACCTCAAGCAGCATTTGTGAATACAGAGTTCAAATTTCAGGTTACATGATTTTTCACTGGTTTTGATGGGTTGACATTGGCATGAAACATTAACTTGATTGTTCTCACCAAAATATTCTGCCAACTAGCAGTATTTCTATCATTTTCAATTTTTGTTTTCCAGAAACCACAATATTTTGCTTGGTGTCATAAATTTCATCATTTGCAATGTTTGAAATGCCCACACGAGAGAGATCTTCACTTGCATTTTATGTACTCTGCTTGACTTACTGGTTGCTTCAATTCTTACACGTTGTATGCATATTACTAAAATTGGCATAATATAAATTGGTAACATCAAATGTTAACCGCAGAGACCCTCAAAATTGAAATTTTATAATCTGAACCATTATTTGACCACTTCAAATAACTGGAAATTCTATACCTGCATGATGCTACAAAGCTTTGATATCACCAAGTACATAAAATATCTTCTGCAAATTCCACCGTGTGCATACATTGATGACATTTTCAGCTGTTTTGCTGCCAAATTATTTCAAGAGCTTGCAGTCTTGGGTAGATCAATGATATGAAAAAATACATGACACTAAAGATGATAAGAACAGAGCAAAGAATCCTTCCTTGACCACGACTCAGCATGTACAATGACAGCTAAGTAGTTGATAATGCTCAATTATAATGCCCAGCAATGCCCAAATAGCCTGTCAACACCTACAATTCCAGTCCAGACAGCGAGAATGTTCATCTGATGGGACAGGAGAGTAAAATCAGTGCCTGAGAATTATATCCTAAAAAGTGAGTGTGTTTTCAGACAAGGGCATGTGGGAGGCAGAAATTAACTAAAATCACAAAAACTGTTCACTGGTAATTTTAATACAGCTGGCTGTTTGATACTTCCTGACTTTCAGGTTCTGATACAGGGATAACTGATTTCAGGTGGAATTAAAAGTGCATAGAATTCTAAGTCCAGACATAAATGGCATATTAAATTTTTTGCTTTAAGTTCAAAAGTTAATGTCACGCAGCTGAACACTCAATATTAACAACTCTGATTAAATGTAAGAATTAGATTAGGTCACTTTAAAATATTTTTTCATGGGATGAGGACATCACTGGTTAGAGGAGCATTTATTGCATTTGGCAAGGTTCCACACCAAAAAAGCACTGCACAAAACAGGTGGTCATGGCACAGCAACTAACATATTAGCATGGATAGAAGACTGGCTGACTGGCAAAAAAAACAGTAGGGCATAAATGGGTCTAGTTCAGATTAGCAGCATGTGACATGTGGAGCCACCCCAAGGTGTTTGCACCAGATCCTCAACATTTTATAATTTTTATCAATGATTTAGATAAAGGGAGGCAGGGCACGGTGACTAAATTCACAGAGGACACAAAAATGAGTAAGATGAAGTGTGAAGACAAAGAGTTTGCAGATGATAAATTGGGCAAAAACTAGCAGATAGAGTATAATGCAAGAACGTGCAAAGTCGTTTACTTCGGCAGGAGTAAAAAGCACAGAGTATTACTTAAATGGAGAATGCCTGAATTCCAAGGTACAGAGGGATCTAGGTGTTTTAGTGCATGAGTCACAAAGGTTAGTATGCGGGTGCAGCTAGTGGGATGCCAGCCCTTATTTCAACTGGAATTGTGCATCAAATTGAGGATACACAAAAAAATGAACTGTGGATGGAAATCCAAAATAAAAAGTGGACCCAAAACACTGACTGTTTTCTCTCCACAGAAGCTGCCAGACCTGCCGAGTTTTTCCAATTATTTATTTGATCAATTTAAGGACATTCTGCTTCATTTATACAGGACAGCAGTGACAGCATCTCTCAATTACAATGTGCAATTTTGGTCTCCATAATAAAGGAATGATGTAAACACAGTGGAGGTGGTTCAGAGGAGAATGTGGCTTTTCTCATGAAGACTGGTTAGTCATGCTGGGTTTGTTTCTGCTACAATGCAAAAGACCTAAACATTTGATTGACATTTATGAAATCCCAAATGGTGTTTGACAAGGTGGATGTGGAAAGGTTATTTCCTCTTGAGGGCAAATCCAGAGTTAGAGACTACGGCTTTAAAATTAGGGGTCATCATTTCAGCACACAGATGAGGGGGATTTCTCTCTGAAGGAGTTGTAACTTTGGGACACAATGCCTCAAGGCAGAGGGGTCATTTAAAAATATTCAAGGAAGAGGCAGAAAGATTCTTGTTGAGCAGGGGAATAAAAGGTCATCAGGAATAGATGGCCATATAGAAGAATTGGGAACACAAACAGGTCAGTCAAGAATTGTTGGATGGCAGAAGAGGCTTTCAGGGCCGAAGGATCTACCGCTGCTTACAATTAATATTTTCACATATATCCCCTGCAGAAGGTGATGAGTTGCCTTGAGCGACTGTAGTCCTTGGATGTAGGAATACCCACAGTGCTGTTAGGAAAGGACTTCCAGGATCTTGATGCACTGACAGTGAAAGAACAGCAATACATTTCCAAGTCAGGA